ATGGTAAACATCTAGTAGTATATCAACAAATTTACATATCCATACCTGTTACGCGGAGATTGATTTCATACAAGAGACTGTTTGAAACATATGTACATCAGTACATGATCCCCAATAGCTTCAACTATGGTGTCCCTTTGTCAGTTAGAGAATCCTCTGTTGAATACATTGATGCCATTCAGTTGCAGTTAGATCCTCCACTTCCAAATTTACATAAAGCTGCATTTCTGGACCAAAAAACCAACCATGCTACGAGGGATTCCAAACTGGCTTATAGTAGTGGGATCTATAGTGATACAAAAGTTTCTCTGTTTTCCATTCCCATTCACCAATCAGAATGCAAACATTCTTCTGTTCAGCACCAATCTACTTCATAAAGACATCACAGTACCTGGGGCTGCTTTTAAATTGTTGCACAGTTGTATAACTGATCGAGATGAACGGAAATTCAAAACTTGACCCGACCATGCAGACGCAAAAGACCTAACCCTGCTCCTTTCATTTTGAAGTGCCTGCACAGTGCATGGAAAATTGAAGAATATTGTTTAGCAGTTGTGGTTGTACAACAATTCAAAAAATGTCTACTATAATTCATGATGGAACTTATGACAAAGATATTGCACAAGAACTGGGAGGAAAGCTAAGTACAGGAAAAGAAATTACCAGCTGCTTCACTTCAGCCTGACAAACATTTTTTCATCTTCGGAGCTATAGAAGTGGACTTCCACATTCCAACTACACCTTCTCAAAACAGTAAGGATCATTCAATAAGTTTCAACAACCCAGATGTGGCCACCTCCACTTGCAAGCTCACATACGTACTGTCCAAAACCTCAGCTCGAAAATAAATCTACTGAAAAGGTAATAGTTTCACAAGCTGAAAAAGTCATTAATTGAAAACACAACCCTTGACATCATAGTTTGCTTCCTACTACTTATATTTTACACAATCTGGGTCAACACTGTAGTTTATTCGAGAAAACGCTCAAAATAATACTTGAACAATGTGAACATGGTCAACAAGATAACAAACATAATGGCATAAGACTTATATATGGCCTCTTTTAACACCATGGTCCAAGTGCTTCTTAATGATCCTTTTCAGCAGCATGATCCGGTCCCTAAGCTCACAGTAAATATTAGTCAAAACAAGAACTTAAACCAAGGTACATTGTCTAATAAGATAACCTATATTACTCCCATCTGAACTGTTAAATATATCTTCATGGCTCCTTTGTGTCAAGCATGATATACTTGATTACCTATCAAGAGGACACAAGTCTGGAAACCACCAAAACTCATAAGAACAGCAGTCATAGTCATCAGAGAATAAAAACGATGGGTACGCTAAGAAAAGCATTCATAATGATCAGAAGGATCCATTGTCCGCACACGATTAGATACTCCACCAGATGAAGACACTGGCGGCCAAGAAATAAAAAAAATGTGGCATCTTGGAATCAAATCCACAAGCAAAAATCACAAATCTATCGTCCTGAAAGGAAGACATTGACCACTTAACCAAAGCAAGTTCAAGATCCAAAATTAGTATATGAGCTTATTCACAGTACATGTGGACAACTGCAATTTAACTGACATGAGAATCCGTATTAAAAACAAGTGCAAGTTTCCAACAATCTATACATGTTAAAGAAATAGAAAATACTACATTAATATTCTAACAGATGGTAACCTATCTTGAAGGACAAAAGAAGCGAGATATGGTAACTAACATCATAAAGAAATGTCTAACAGATGGTAACCTATCTTGAAGGACAAAAGAAGCGAGATATGGTAACTAACATCATAAAGAAATGAATTGTGACCCCTAAGTTGAAAGTATTTAACAAATGAGATGAGAATCATTCATATGGAATTCTTGAATAAAAGAATTAATTGAAGTTGAAAGTATTTAACAAATGAGATGAGAATCATTCATATGGAATTCTTGAATAAAAGAATTAATTGCTTAATCTTTTCAGTACAGTCCAGTCTCAAGAATAATTTGGAGAACCCAGATCCATTAAAAACATTAATCGATCATTGATGACATTTTTCATGAAGAAGTTGGAAATCAATGCATGGATAAACAAGAACCACACTATTGAAAAAGAACAATATAGGGAACATAATGGTTCCACCTACATTGTAAAGTTTCGGTATTAAATCCCCTCATAACAAGCTAGGAGGTGCAAGAGTTCTTTTTAGCCTGCACCTAGATTTTTATCCCAGCATAGAGACAAGTATGAAAATTAAAATCAGTTTTTCTTTCAAAACTATTAAGATTAAGCAGTCACTTCCTCAATTTTCCTAAAACCAGCATAGTCGTGATTCAAGAAGTATCCACATAAAACTACGGGTTTGTGTGCCGTGCGTGCATGTAAAAGAGAGAGGAAAAGGGATGCACATTATATCTGTAACTAATCCTCATTTGATAAAAATGTTGCCCAATTTGAGCTTCTTTTACATTGCTTCTACTATTTGTATGATGTATAAATTGTTGCCACTAAGGGGAGTGACCTATCCCCTTGCAAAATGTGCTCTGCCGAGAGAAAAACAACGGCAGAGAAAAACAAGGACCACAATGCATGTTTAGACAGCATGGAACCTGATAATCCAGCCAGCCAAAATACACCACCTTTAACAACCCTCTTGCTTCTTAAGTCAGCTACCATCCTGAGTCAGCACTTGTCAATCTTTTCATATACAGACGATACAGCTATCTACACAGAAGCAGCAAAGGCACTAACACTCAAGTTTTGTCTGACAGCTGCTACTGATCGCAGAGACTCCTTTCCAGTGTGACTCCATCCTGGGATTCTTCTTAGAGTAGCTATCAGAAGACTCGCCAGAAAGCTAGTCTCAGCAAAATTCTCAAAACTTCATTCAGGATTTAAATTACACATGAAGACATTACTAGGAAGGTGCAAATCAGTCATAACTTTTCTTTTCTTTCCCGCTGTCCTGTTCATAGTCCGCAAATTCTCTGCTGAAGGGTCTGAAGAAGTGGGTATCTCAGGGTCCTTATACTTCATATAAATGATAGAATCATCCAAAGTGTATATTCTGAAAGCCAAAGCTGAAACAGTGCAAGTTCTTGCTGCAGCTGTGAGGGATGACCAGTACCACCACCCATTTCTCAAGTAATCTGTCTTAATCATACCTTCTAACAAGATTGCTGCTTGAATCATCTACGGGAACAAGAAAATCACCATAAAAAATCAGATGAATGAAAGCTATGAACACACAACTACAATGTGCCATGGTTATCGAAAGCTTGAAGTATGTGATACTTTGATACAATCATATGTAAGATAGAATAACATGAAATATACTGTAGATTCTCAACAAAAATAAACAACATTGAATTGCAATGGTTAAAGCTAACAGACAAAGTTAATATCAGTCAGCCAGCTGCCTCAAATTTGTTCTAGAATATATTTCAGAAATTAGAGTTAGACATACGTATAAAGGTACTAATGCTAATTTTAAAAACTTTGGAAGTGCTGTAAGAAACAAGTGGTATATACTGCAAAGCAGGGAAAATTATAAGATACTTAAGTGCTAATTAGCATACAATATATGTAAACCAAAGTTATTGAATCTAATGCAAAAATCCTTAGGGGGTGTTAGTCAACTAGAACATTTTTTTACAGAAGTGGAACAATTTTTATTATGGGATAATTTTTTAACGTGGGATGTTTTAAGGGGATGATTGGGAATAATTTTTTAAAACATGATATTTTAGTGGGACAATTGTCAGTACAATTAAGGATAGTTTTCAAAAATCAATAAGCATACAAGTCATGCATTTTGATGATAAGACTGCTATTTATACATTTTAAACTTATTATTATTAATAGTAATTATTTACTTTAGTGTTAATTAATCTTGAAGAACTATTAGACAGACTATAAGATATTATTATTATTACTAAATTTGTAGCTTTTTGATTTTTTGGAATTATTATTGCAATATAAATTAAAAAAACATAGTTTTCCCTTTTTTTCTCTTTCTTTTTCGATCTGCCAAACATCATTCTATCATCTCTCAATTTTAATTATTTTTTAATAAAACATGAATTTTATAATTTTTAAATTTAAATTAATTATACAATTTAAATATTTAATAAAAAGAAAAAATAACATTAAATAGAAGGGAAAGGTAAGAAGAGATGTGATCTAATTTTATGGTGTGGTTTGAAGATGATGGAGAGATGAAATATGAAAAATAAAAAAGTAAATAAGAAAGTTCTAGTTTTTTACCATGTAGTTCTAGCTTAAAACTTGGGACAATTTGAGAGACTAGAACTCTCACTTTTCTATATAAATAAATTCAACAAAAGTAAGATAAATTTTTACAATTATCTCACTTCTACTTTTTATCTAGTTCTTGTTGACTAAGTATAATTTTATCCTAGTTCTAGTTCCAATGGACTAACACTATAAAAAATTATCCCACAAATTATCCCAGTTTTAATTTTTAGTTCTAATTGACTAACCCCCCCCCCCACACACACACACACACAAACACACACACACCCCACCACCACCACCACCAAGGAAACTTTTGATTGTTCTAAATAGGAAACAAGAAAAGCAAAAAGTGGCATGCCAGCCTTGAAAAGGACAAGATGATAAGTCCTATTCACCTCAAATATCGACTCCGCGGACTTGACAAACGCACGCCAGGCGCATCTTCTCGATATAAGAGACCTCGAAGTTCTTAATGCTTCCTCTGGCAGGGCTGCCTCCATGTCGAGTAAATTTATCTTGAGCTGCCTGAGAACATGAGAGACTTTTCCAAGCAGCGGCCTGAGTGAAAGCTCTGGAATTATGCAGCTCCGGGCAATGTTTGAATGCAGTGCCTTTAATGATGCATGTTTCCCAGTTGTTATATGTGATAAAGAAGTTTGCAGTAACTGACCCTTGCCATTGCCAGAACAACTCTGATTCGACTTGGTCTCATAGCTAGTCTTGTTTCCTGTCACACTATGAGATACATTGCCTACTCCAATTTGCAAGGATGTTGATAAACAATTGTTTGATGAGGCAACCCCCTCATTCAGATGAAAATCAATGTTTTTACTTTGTTCTAGAAATAATGGAGGATCAAAAATCATAGGAGGATATGGTAATAAAGATGGGACCCCATTTGAACTAATAAGTCCGATCTCCTTAACCAACTCCATGTTAGAATCATTTGTAATGAACTTTTTGCTGATCTCGGCAAAGTCATAAGGGCATACTCTATTCGGGAATTTGACTAACTTTGAATACATATCAAATTTCCCCTTTTGCAATGTCTCCAAATCATCAGAGTGGTCTTTTCCTTTTGTGTTACCAGACCTTGTTCCATTTCCTTTCATTTGATCATCACTTTCTTTCCTTTCATAAGCGAGAATAACTGGAGCACACCTTCCATCCTTATGACCTTCAAAATCACGGACAGAGAATAATGTTTGGTGACAGGTGAGACAATGGCGTCGAGAAGGCCATACAGGCTCTAAACACTCACATCTGTACATTCTCACTTTGATATTTCCTTTTCCCTTCCTTCCACGTTTCTTTGGAATTTCACTGGCTTCTAGTTCCAAGCAAGGACCATACTTGTTCTCAAGAATACCTAGAGCTTTTGTGATTAAACGACAAGTAGTCATGAGTTTTTCAACGGTCGATGATTTTGGTTTGGGATCAATTCTGGCATAAATATTCTCACGATAAAGTGCAAGCCTTTGCCATTGCAAGATAAACTCCTTTAATTCCTTTTCTCTAGGATCAGCATCTCTTAACCAGTTGACAAGTTGTTGGATCTCAGTACCAAATTCATGTATCACTAAAGGCATTGTCATGCCTCCACCCACTACTAACCAAGGACGCTTGCCAGGTTTGCCAATAACCCAATACAATCGACCAATAGAATCTCTTCCCAAGAAGTCCCTTCTCAATGATGTGAACATAACCTGGCGCTCTAAACTGGCTATCGAATCCTGCAAATGTGAAATCTCATTCCTTAGAGAGTTCAACTCAAGACTTCTGGCTTCAAGATCAGTGTGACTTGAAGGAGCATCTAAGTTGCTTTTTTGCAAAAGTGTATTTGATTGGGTAGGAAGCAATTCTCCTACTGGCATGTCGATACCAAAGCATAAAGTCATGGAACGAGTATCACCAAGTCGAGTTCTTGCATTGTACAAAGTTGGATGAGACCCATGAACGTCATCTGCACTTGGCTGTACTCTTCCATTTCCTTCTCTACTTAGAATGTCTTTTGCATCCAAACTGTATGATGGGTCCTTTGCGACACCAATCAGCATCCTTTGTGCATTTCCAGAGTCAACACCATGAACCACGTCCCCGGCTGCTCCTTTTCTTTGCTGCAAAGGAACTACTGAATTTTCGTGCCCATTCATTTCATTACTATTGCCAACAGTTATAACAGAAAATGGATTGCCATTTATTGTAGCCTTCTTCAGAACATGACCATTGATTGTGTGTGTTTCACGTTCAGTGGCCATGGAATCTGACAGCATCTGCTGGGTTAGAGATTTATTAACATTAGCATGCTTGTCAATCATGCAGTCCAGTAATTGGCCAAAGCTCTGGTTGGCATCAGTTTGGCCATTCTCCTGAGGGCACTCCTTTAATAAGGCAGATGCTCTTTTAAGTGGAGTACCAGAAAATTTTGTGTTATAGATTACTCCATTGTTGCTGAAATTTTGACTCTGCTCCGCCATTCCAATTCGGTTAGCATCCATAGCAGTCGTCCCTTCTTCTCCTATAAAATCTCTGTTTCCACTGGATTTGCCAGAATGTTCTCTCAGACTTATTGCTAATAGTTCTTCCTTAACTTTCAAATTTCTCCAGTCAATAGTAAGAGCATACAGCTTTTGTTGCGCATTATTTGACTTGTCAGCACATTGTTCAAGATGTTCACGAATAAGTGCAGAGCTCAAAACCTCATCACACAAAAACTTCAGCAATAAAATTCTCTGCATTAACAAAGGAAGCAAATCTCAATATAAGACAGATTAAAATATCAAACTAAAAGTAAACATGAAATATTAGAGGGGGGAAAGAAAGCAAACATCAACAACAATTACAAAACAGTAAAAGTTCAAAAACCCTAGTGTGACCATTAATTTCAAGGCATGACAAAAGGAAAAGGATAGCAGCAATCATATTCTAAGGGTAAAGCATGAATATAATAGAGTAGAATACATTTGAACAGTGATAATCGAGTTATTCACACTACAATCACTATTCCACGATAAAATACTGACTCCAATACAAACTTCATTTTTTTTAAAAAGAAAATAAAAGAGCCTTAAGTTCAATCCAGGTGCACTACATTTATAGTCTGAAAGACTTGCATAGTGACAGTATGAATTTAGATTTAAGAAGGAAATCAGATCATTCTACTTTTGATAGTTTAAACAGATTATAGAAATAGCAAAAAAAAAATCCATATTTTCGGTTGGTATCAGATTAAAGAATTATACATAGCAAGCAGGAGGCACTAAGAACATCTAGAGGTAAATAGATCCAGGGAATATATAACAGTGATCAACTTATGAATTATATTTATGAATTATAAACAAACATTGTAATAAGAGAATTTAAACATGACTTTCATTCTCATTACAAATTGCAAAATAGAAATTGGAACTATCATTAACCAAGTTTTATTTTCATATATTGGGCATATTCTAAGACTATAAAACTTTGTGAAAAGAATTCCATTGATGGTTTACGCATTACTGTTTTTCAAAAAAAAATTATGCTAAGAAGCACAATGTACATGATGAAATTTTAATGTTGAGTCACCATTCTTAACAAAAAAAAATCGTATGAGGAAATGGTGACAGTTGGTTGTAGTATAAACATCAATATTTCTGCTTGTCGAATGATTTCATTGATAACATGCAACGAGTTAAAGCTAAATGAACATCTTTACAGGAAATTGAGCTGTACAAATAACCCTGTAAATACAATGACCATAAAACGGTCAGCTTGTTGTAGATATTCCTATACAACATAATAATACCAATCAAATATGTAGACAATTCCACGATCGATAACAAAATTAGCATATTGCTTGCATTATAAACCTGAAAAACTGATAAAAGGAACAAGCATTACCACAAACATATAGACTTGCACAAGGATACAGCTACCCAACTATCTATCAAATTAAACAGAGATCCAAAATAGTTTTAAGACAATAAAGCCTGAAGAAAAGTTTCACAATATCAAACCTCTTCAGTGTTGAGTTCCCAATACTCTTTTACTTGCATGGAGTTAGTGAGCTGATGCAGTCCCTCTTGAAAAGCACGAGTTTCATCTCCTAGATTTCTTCTTGGAAAGCTAGTTACAGGATAAATATGTAGACTTTCATATTGCACGTTATCTTCATCCGTAACACAAGATGGACAAAACCAGTCCCCATCAGGAATTCGGGCAAGGGGAGGGTTTAGGCAGTATCTATGGTACTCAGAATCACACTTGTCGCACAAAAGAACACTCACGTCATCTTTATCTATGCCACAAACTTTGCATACTCCATCCTCCCAAGGTGCTTTAGGTAATTCATTTCCACCAAGCAGAATGTCATTCAATTCTTTCTGTATTTCCGCATATAATTGCTCAGTGCCACAGTGATGTGCAATTTTTTCAAATAGGTACAGAACCTGCATTTAGAATCTAAATCATAAAAAGCTACAAGAGAGTGGTACAGAATCCCTATTAAAACTTTGTTATTATAGCCCATAGATGAATTTTAGCAAACATGAGCCAAATAGAAAAGCTCAAAAGAGTTTTTCAGTAAAAAACAAAAAATCTTGCAGGATTAAATAGTCAGGTAAAAGCAATCAACTTTAACCAGATTCCCATACTTTAAATAGATTGGTTTGGATGGAACTAGTCATCAACAAAAAGATTTACAAGTTTTAAAAAAAATTGTTATTTCCTATCCCTATATGCCATTGGTGTGAAGACAGCTAAAGATAGAAGATAAGCAAGTCTAATATCTAACTGGTCAGGACAGTCTCCCCAAATGATATAGACATATTATACAACAAATAAAGCATTGTTAAGCGCCAGCACCTCAGCAACTAGCAATCACCATACCATTTCCCCCAATCAAAGATTATTTTGGCACACTAGCAAAAATCAATCCATTTATGATCCTAACACTACTAACAAGCACATTTTTTGGTCTTTGGTGCAGATGTGATACCATCTCAAGTGATATGCCCTCATCCTATCCTCCGTTAAGGCAGGAAAAATAACTCGGAACATCTCTTGAATGCACTAATCTCTCACCATAGCTTATATAACCTTTCTGTTAGCTATAGCATATTCCCACTTAGACAACATATCGGAAGTGTTGCTTCATAGGTTACCAACGTTCAAAACCTTAACGTGCAGCTAGTTGTAAAGCTGTAAAAGTTTTCACAAAAAAGAGAGTTCTTCAATTTCTTGTGTACCTCTGCAGTGTCACAGTACTCCAGAAGAACTAAATTTAATCAGACTGCTCACCATCACGATGAATGACTAATCACGGGGGTGGAGCTAGGTAGTGTGCATGCAGGGCACATCCCTAAATAATTTTCAACTTTCTTGTTGCCTTTGTAGAATATCATTATTGTGCCCACTGCCCATGCTGCAATGGCGTTGTATTGCCTTTCCGTCCATTTGATTGTGATTAAGTATTCACAAATTTTAACTATTGGAAGAAATAAGTAAAGAAAATAAACTGTTTTCATCCTAGAAAATGATAATAAATTTTCAGTAAAGTTTTTATTGTTATGCTTAACTTATAACAATTAGCTTATACTTTCAAGTGAACATAGGTAATCATGCTTTTCTTCAGCAGAATCTTATTGCACAAACGCATGATTGATATTTGCCAGTTGTGCCTTGTTTTGTTGAAAATTCTAGCATCTCCCCTGAGTCCCTGACTAATCCTGCATGATGACAATGATAATTCTAGACTAGCTCCGAACCATCAATATAAACCACACCCTAAGTTCTTTTCATACTTAACGTCCAGTTCCATATCTTGTTTCTTGACATATTAATTCTAAATCATTAAGTTTCTACAATCTGTCTCCACGTTTCTAATTTTAGACCTTATCTCTTCTCTTGTCTCATCAACCAACGCAAAAATACCAACAAAAAGAAGACCATTGGACCTTATTATGGATATACCTAGTAAGTATGGGTAACATATTGCCAATTTTGATGAAAATTCATTCTTACGATGTAGAGGTTATGGTAATCCAAAATTAATTTAATGATACTTTATTTGTATAAGCATACTCTAAAAAGAATGAGGAAAGCCAAATAGAGTTCAAGGAATCATTAAAAAGGAAAATAATTAGAAAATTAAACAAAAATCCCCTGGATGGTTGAGTGCTAACTCTTTGATAGGCTGACATGAGGTGAGTCTATCCAATGGATTTGACAGTTAACTCTTATGGAAAAAGCTAAGTAGCTCATAGAAAATCAGCTCCATATAAATGGTACCAATACACAACTATATTCATCTTCAAGCGAATAACTAGGGACATAAGCACATGCAGAATCTGCGGAAGGAATATGTATACAATAAATTATAAAAGCAACAAGATCATTATCTATTATGAAGATGCATATAGCACAAAGTGCATATATTATCAAGTTTCTGCACCATCCAAAAGATTCTTCAAATTTAATTGAAACTAGAAAGTAACCATTTCGTTGTAATTTTCCTCAAGTATGGCATGCAGTTGATAACATGAGATCCTAAAATCATGAAGTATCCACACGTGACACAGATTCTCAAGTTCTGAAATGTAAAAGCAGACGACAAGCATTAAAAATAACTTTTCATGATCTCAAGAAACGGATATCCTAAGGATTGTCACCACTCGCGGAGATGCAGCGAAAATATGTTGCTATCTCAACATGACTTACCAATGTTGAGTCTTCAAAAGAAATTAACCAAACAATGAATGCTATATGCTGCAATCTCTTAATAATCTTCAATCTGAAGATAATGTTATCAAAAGACAAACCAGAAAGTATTTACATTTTAAACACAATAATAAAAGAGAGATTAACAGTACGCAAATACACCAGATATTTGATAATTCACACACAGTGACCTGCAACGAATATAATCAATCATAATGGCATATTGTGGACTAAAATTCTCAAATGGAGTAGTAATATAAATAAGTACATTTATAACGTAATTACGATGACAGTAATAAGAAAAACAATAAATGAAGCAACAAACACAAAAGATAAAATTATTGAGGTAAAAATTGAGAAAGAGACCTCCTTCTTGTATAAAAACTCAAAATTCTGTGATAACCTTTCCAGTTGAGGTGTTAAATCAGGTTGATCCCCGTATGCAGCGTGTAGATTACGCCAAACCTGAAAAACAGAGGGCAAGTCAACACCGCCTTTATGCAATTAAACAAATCCACAACTTTCACATGAATGTAATTCTATAGTCACAACTCATAATATTCATCAATTATGAAATAATCTGAATGGGCATTTCCACAAGCCAAATAATTATTTAATGAAGAACAATTTTTCAAAACAGTCTCTTTTAAATTTTTATTTTTCAAAATCGACCCTGTTTTTTTTATCAAAACCGACCCGTTTTTTTTATTAGCAGCCTAATCACATTCCTAAATAGTCGGGGTTTCCAACCCCGACTATTTAGGACTTAAATTTGTATGGTTTAAGGCTTCTAATTAGGGTTTAACACCCTCCTAAATAGTCGGGGTTGGCAACCCCGACTATTTAGGAATGTGATTAGGCTGCTAATCAAAAAACGGGTCGGTTTTGGTAAATAAAAAAAAAGGGTCGATTTTAAAAAATAAAAATTTAAAAGGGGCTGTTTTGAAAAATTATTCTTTAATGAATATCGACAGTGAACCATCAAAGATCTACAAATATTTCAACTATACATGAATATTGCATAGATTTGCATATAAATCAAATTATAAATATACATGCTGCATTCATAGAAAACAAATCAGTGATGGACTATCTGATGCTGATTAACAATGAAATGAGTAGTTACAACAGATTTGTTGGTCATTTTAAGCTTGCCCTATTTCAGTGGAAGAATACTTCTAACTTTTGCAGACGTCATTCCTTGGAACTCCCATTTCAAGTTTTAACCCATTAAAAGGATCATTTTCGAACTTAACTTCAATCATGAAAAGCAAGTTTCTACCAAAGCCCACATGGTAGATCAGTTTCTCAAGATTGTCAGCTATTTTCAGGGAGGCAATCCAATGCATACTCTATTAAGCTCGTAAGGAATTAAATCAACTAAACGCATCATAAAGACTTCCTCCCTCCATCCTAAAGTTGTTCTTGGTCGAGCATGCTTAACTGCATAGTTTTTCCAGAAATTCTCCCTCAAATGCTATATATATTACTTCTTGAGCTCACAGAAATATCATGTGCTAAGGTCCTTTCTATCTCACATCCCATGTAGGAACATCCACTTGAGGTGTGAGACGCCATTAATTAAGCAAAGCAAACAAAGAAGATTAGTTAAAGATTACAAGACACTTCAAAAGAACATAGTAAAAATGTAAAATGAAGCATTTCTCCCTAAAATCAAGTATACTTCCATGTGGTTACTCTTCAATATGCAACAAACACTTACAAAGCTTTCTAAAATAAGTAATAGAAAAAGTCAAAACCCATCAAAGATTGAGATGACTACTCAAAGAATCAAAAGGAAACAGGAGAAACATACCTCCCGAACATCTTCCAGAAATGCTTCATGACACCCACAATAAGCCCCAACTGCAAGTCTTAAATCAATTGTTCGGAAGTCTAAAGGGCGAGACACCATAGCAGGTGATCCAAGAATACCCCTTTCATTGTTATCACTAGAGTTAGGTAAGGTGGTACCAAGCAAATTGCAAAATGTTTTTGATTCATCTGCGGAAACAGCAGAGCGTAGCACGATACGGCATTTTTTCATTATAGCATCAGATGCAAAAAGAGGTATTTTCTTTTTTGGTGCTTTGGCAGGCTTTTGTTGCTGACTGCCACCACATAACTTTGTAAGAATAGACAAAACAGCTCTCTGCATCCACCAAATGCAATCAGGTGATTTTAGGGCATGATAATATGATAAACTTAAGTCAATAGTAAAGCATAGAAACTCAGAGCAATTTGTTTCAGTTTAATATAGTTATGCAAAAATAAGAAGGGTAAGACTGTTGAATCTTTCATGAAGTGAAGATATAGCTGGATTAGAACAGGCAGCATCAACCCTGTAAGAGTGTTAACGCATGACAGTCCTTTCATATTCAATAGAAAAACTTGATGATCACTGCCCGTCATCCTCTAAAGGAAACATTATGTACAACTAATATAAATATTAAAAAGAATTACTTGCTTAGCCATATCTGAATATACAAGCTGCCCTGCACTGAAAGGACAGGAGAGTAGGAAGAATACAACAACAGAAAGTTTCAGGTCATTCCTGGTATTTCATACACGAGCAGTACACAGAGAAGAGCCCACGTGGACATTTTGTCTGGTTACTAGTGAGTAGAACCATCCTGGTCATTGTCCAACTGGAAGTTTATGAAGGTTAACCTAAACAAGCAAATGCTACGTGGCTCGTATTTCTGATATGTACCAGATTTCTAAGGTAACTACCAGAACAAGAAGAAATCTGCATTAGTTCAGAAAGTTGTTTATAAGAATGCTTACAATGTAGATGACTTGTTTAGCAAGTCTTTAGTGACTTATTATCAGCATAATAGACTAGAGCTCGAAATTCCAATCCTCTCTATTGGAGGGCGCAAAAGGAGAGACCATTATATGGGGAAGTGAATCCTTCATGAGTCTCTTGTTTCAGAGTAAGCGGACAATTATAGAGCGGAATACCAGCAGCACTTTTAACTTTACGTGTGTGATACAGGCATATAAGACCCTGTTTCCATGCTTTGTTCAGAACTTGTTGAGTTAGTAAGTCAAAAACACATCAGTGTCAAAGATACAACACATGCAGGGATGTGACAGCTATCGCAGACCTTATAACATTTAATAAAAATAAGGGTTATAAAACCTCTTGTGTTATAGATCCATGATCCATCTTATCATCCCTCATCTTGGATATAAGACAATAACCTCTTAATTGATCAGCGTAGTTAAAATTTCTGTTAGTCAGAGCTAGCAAGTACAAGACACGCAATATCATTTACCATTACTTAAAAAGGTTTAGAGTACAGGGGGACTATTTGCACAGAAACATGTGATATTTGTAGTTAATCCAAATTCCTGCTACTTTCTTCTTTCTTTGATGGGTGTAAACAATATCACCATGGGATCGGCCTGGTGATTTCTAGGGGTAACTAAATTCACTTCCTTAAATTAGAGAGAGAAGTATATTAGCTGGAGCAAGAAGACAAAGAATCCCTATAAACTTCCTCCCCCTCTAAAACCCAAACTCATATCGAGACTCAAATCCACTACTCCACACCTGAGCAGGATCAGGGCCTACACCTCCTTTTAGCCTTCATAGAGCTCCACAAGGGCACTCATTCCACTGTCAGGTCTGACATTCGCTCCCAAGTCACTGTGCAATCAACGAACTGATTTTGGATGATTAGTTAAATATTATGTGTTAGGTACATGTTATGTCTTAAAAACTTAATAAATAGCTTGCAGATCTAATAGATTTAATTTGGGTAAATTATACTAAAGCCGCATGAACTTTCAGCATTTTGCAGTGAACTCTTATGAACTATCAAAATCGCACTAAACCCCCAACAACTTTTGCATAAAACCCCCAATATCTTTTGGTTAAATTATATTAAACCCCCAATAACTTTCAAAATGCCTTTTTACACTGCTCTCTAGTTCTAATATATGGCGGTTATCTACAAAATGCAGTAACTTATTTGGGGTTTTCAGCAAAATAGAAAAGTTATTGGGGGTTTAATGTGATTTTGAAAGTTCATAGGCGTTTACTGAATAACACTGAAAGTTCATGGGGATTTAGTGTAATTTACCCACTTAATTTTTAAAAGTTCAATTATGGCTTTGTTTTTTTGGTTTTGGTCCAATTGCATATGGACCTATACTATTGTGGGATTAGGAAAAGGAAGTACAAATAGGTAGTTATGGTACATACATGAATGTGGGTTCTAAATAGTACAGGTGCAATCACCCGAAAAGGAACACGGTTCCAGAACTAGGTTCCTGATCAACTTGACGGATAGAGATATGTTGAGAGTTGATCCTTAATTCTGATTTTGACTTATAAGATGGCTTAGATATGCGTTATCAACCTTGCCAATAAATGTGACAAATTATCTAAACATCAGGAAACAAAAATTATGAGGACTTGGATCTGAAAACCCTTTGCATATCTTCGGTGTTCAGTATTAAGCAAGGATAGAACAGTCAGAAGCATGCAGGATAAAGAAAAAAAAGAGAGAAAGGTCACCCTGTGGATCCAAAAGAAACGTGTGCAGGGTAATTGTATTCATGTAAAATTTTTAATCTGCTGTTTCAAATTCTTGAAATTTTACGACTATCAATAGATTGTACTCAAGATTTTACGGCATGGCTCTTAGCTGCTGATAGGACCTGGCCAGGAATTTGAAACCATTATTATCAGGTTCGCATCAACTTGACTAACTGGTAATAACCACATTTTTAATTCTTCCTCTCTTACTTTCGAGGCCCTCACTCACAGTTGCCTTGACCCCGAAATGACTACTAAAGCTAAATCTCAGGTCGATTTGTCTTTCCTTTGACTTGTGCTCTGGAACCATTCTCTTCTAGATGTGCTCAGTAACTATCCCCACTTTGTTGGGATTAAGTTTAGATGATGATGAACAGTATTTGGACTCTTTACTTTAAGTTGTACTTGGTGGTAACAGCCAGTTTTCATTTTCGTAAGGAAAAGGTTTAAACTTGGACAATGAAGGTGTGTTAAAAGTTCCAGTAATGGAAATTGGTTTCTATATCATCATAGGCAGAAAGATGAGCAGGGAAAAGTGGTGTATGGTACGTGAAATTCCAACTCCTCGTATAATCTAAGTTCAACATAACTTTGTAGTCACAGAGACATGTACGATGCATAGTGAAAATAGAAAATTGGACTATTTACCTTGGTAGGGCCTGATGCATTCCCCTTGTAAACCTCTTTACTGATTGAATACTCATTTACCTTGGTAGGGCCTGATGCATTCCCCTTGTAAACCTCTTTACTGATTGAATACTCCAGAATCTCCTTTGCCCATTCTGGTGGGTAAACCTCTTTACTGATTGAATACTCCAGAATCTCCTTTGCCCATTCTGGTGGACTTTTCTCCAAAGACGAGTATACGCAATTTCTAATCCTTGCTCCCACATTAGTAGGCAGTTTTCTTACAGGCTCCAGTGGTTGTGCCCACTCAGGAAGATTGCTGCTTGTAATGTTTGCTGGCTCAAGTGTACCTGCTGCATCAGAATCCTTGTGGTCAACAGGCAAAACATCACTCTTCTGTTTTGTAGTACAAGATAATTGCCTCTCTGCCTCTGCAAGAAGCTGAGATTCACAAACATCAGTATATATAGTTACTACATTACAAACATAATTCTAAAACAAAGTTAAACGTTAAACAAAAAACTGTTGTCCAAAATGTTCAGCAAAGAGTAGAGAATATAAAAATCAGATTAGTAGGTTGAGTAAGATAGAAGCACTCCAAAGTAAACTACCTTCAAGAAATAAATTAGAGTAACGAATTAAAAGTATTAACTACACATGAAGATGAAAAGGAAATGTCAAATTCATGCTGTGCATTCAGATAGATATCAGAGAATCTTTTTCGGAAGAAATTAATTTTGTTATCCTATCAGAAGAACAAAAAGGAAAGGAAAGAAAAATAATGTTAATGCAAATCCTTAAAATATTAATGGCAAGCCAGGTTTAATAAGATAACATATCAAAGACCTTCAAAAGTTTAATGTGCTATTTGTGTATTTAAGGGTCAAACTATTTCAGCATTTGACATACTTAAATCCATCAATCAAACTTGTTCTGCTTAAAATTAAATTGATTCTTAGATTTGAATATTTAATCTTATTTGAATGTTCCATTTTGAACTTAATGAACAATACATAGTAGTAAAGATAAGAGGGTTTTGTTCTCTTACCAATGCATCTGCTTCCATACCAACAACTCCAGAAAGAGAGCCACAGAGTACACCGCCATCGCCTTGTAAACAGCGATAGATTTTTAGGCTTTCACGAGCACTGACATCTTCCACACGACCATTCATTGACAAGACTGCTAAAATATATCTGTGAGCTAACTCTGGCCATGTCAGCTCATTAATAGTAGATAAGTCATTCTTTGGTTCTTTTGGAGGATAGGAGATTCTAGTATCTTTCTTCCTTCCCCTTTTGGATTTTAGATCTCTAGAATCAAAGTTTGGATCTAGAAAAGCAGCAACCTTGTTTAGAAGTTCTCCAACCAACACCTTCAGTAGTGAGATATGTGCTTTTGTCAGTGCAACACCACTGCAACTCCCAAAAGTACATGATGCCACTTTAACTTGGGTAGCTTCCCTCGTTGCAGCCGCTTCTACTGGCATTAAATGTAATGAACTGTCCCTGTGCATTGTTGAATCAGATGCACCAGCAGCCAATGAAACTGAGCAATCAGCACTATCAGTTCCTGGCTCTCTAAAATCCCTATTTTCCTTGTCAATTCTTTTCAGCTGATTCAAGTCACAAGGCCATGGTGCGATGAGTTCCTCTTCGAGATCCTCAAATGACAAAGGTTCTTTAAGACCCAAAATTTCATAGAAACGCCAGAAAAATTCCCATATCTAAAGAAATTTTTAAAACAGAAAGTAAATCGGAAGTTTGAAAGATTAAATATTGAATATCAAATAAAATGCAACGCAATTTCTCAAACAGTAGTCATTTGCTATTTCTTTTAGTACCTGGAAAACATCTCCCATAAGCTCTCCAGGAATCTTACTGCTTAAAGGCCGTCCAGGAGGCGGTTGCCTGCCAGCTAACTGAGGATCTTCATGCAAATCCTGCAGCTTTGATCCATTTTGTCTATTGTATAGACCAGATGATACTTCTCCACCAGCTCTTTCTCCATTCTTCTGCGTGGCTAGAAGTAACCCACTCCCAACTGTACATGACAATGAGTAGTCTTTCCTATCAATTAAAAAACGATATTGTGCACAAGCACGGGATGCAGGAAGGTTTTCTATGATTTCCTGTACAAAACCCATATCTAATCCAAATCTATCTTGCTCTAACCACATTGTAAGTGAGCTTAGTGAAGATTCCAGTTCAACATCACTTTGAATAGTTCTAGGAGTTTCAATTGGCCCAGAGGCACAACAAAATCTAGCCAGTGAGCCAAGATGTTGTAAATCTTTTAGAGTTTCACAACCTGAGGAAAATGAGCTATGAGTACAACAGAATTGCAAACAACCATACTGTTTATACGCTTCGAGGCAAGCATCAGTAAAAGTCCGGGATACCAGTTTCCATACTGAAGAAGAAGATTTTCCTTCAACATAGAATTCGCCAATTACATCTCTCAAACAGGAACTCTTTCTCGAAGGATCCACATAACTTGATGGCTGACTAGTTAGGTTGGCTGTTAGACTATCTTTTTTTTCAATGTTCATTTGCACAGAAGACCCATATGATTGTTCGCCAGTATCATGACCAAACAAAGACAAAATTTCTTGTTCTGAAGGATTGGGATCTGAGAGGAGATTAACAATGTCCTCCTCTTCATTAGAGCTACAGCCAAATATCATACTAGTGCTTTCTAGTCTTTCTACACCATCCTCCTTTCTAGCCTTGTTATGCACTAGAATAATTTCCCCATTGGGAATGGCAGACAATGAGCATGGACGCCTTCTAACCTTGAAAACAGGTCCAGAATCACCATCATCTGACACTTCACATAGAAAGAGTGAACCAGTAATCTTGTCATGCCAGTTTGATCTATATCCTATGGGCCATATTTGATGACTGGTATGATAGGCTGCTCGGGCATCTATTTTCCCCAGACAAAGAACAAAGAAGTCCTCGTATTGAAGAGGGAGACCAATCTGAAAACATCATTTTAAACATACAGTGAAACACAAAAGAGTGGTCATGCTAATAAAAAAATTAAAGAGCATTTTTATGCATTATAAACTGACAAAAACATTCATAGAGGCAGTAACTGGTGATAGTGGCATGCCTACCAGTTGAAATAAGAAAGATTTTAAGACTAAAAGCAGAGCCAAAATACAAGAAGAAAAAATACTGATGAAATAAATAAATACTTACCGACAAGTTTTGAGATTCTTCGGAGCCATTTTCCAACATATAAGATTCTGCAACTGTTGAAGCACACTTGATGTCATAATTCGGAGGTATAAACTCTGCATCAGAACAAAGCTCGTTCATATGGCTAATCTTCAAAGTGTCATGGTTTTCAGTAAATCTACTAGTTGAAGAAGTTCTTGCAAGATCTTTTCCTCTTCTGCGAGGTGCCAGGAGTCTCCGCAGTGAGCCAGATTCAGGACCTCTTTCATCAACCTCAACAGGGGAAATGCCTGAGGAAATTCCAAGGTAGTAAGTAACATCATACATTGACTCAAACTTTTTCCCATCAGGAGCACAATAGAGAGGCAATGGATTGGGACCATATGCATATGGAGATTGTATAAATTCTACATGCCATCCTTCACCAAGAAAGCCACCCTTTTCTAAAACGAAGTTTCTCAAGGCATTGAGAAACAGTTCTTCCCTAAATTGCCCCGATCTAGATGCGCTACTGAGGACAGGTCTTCCTCTAACCGATGAACCAAAATCCAGGTCCTCAGATCCTTGGCCTGTATTTAGTCCATAATTTGGTACAGAACAAGTCTGCCTAGTGCCAGTCAAAATGCCAGTATTATTAGCTAATTCAAAGCCATTGCCTGCTTGAACCATGTTTATACATGAGTACCGTTCATCAATTCCACCATTTGGAGAAACTTCCTTATGATTACTCATTCTGCAATGAGTACAAACTAATATTAGAATTGTTGTTAGGATGTATTTCCCAAGCAAAAGAAACAATTGTAAGCCAGAAGGGCTTAGAAATTGTTAGTTAACGCAGCAAACAATTGACATTACACCTATGATTTAGATACTGTGCAAAAAGATTACTATCTTGCAGTTATTGGAAGAGGTTGTTTATGGATCGTGTATATTGTTAAAATATTAAGAAAGAGCATCTTCGTTTGCCTTTATTACGTGCATTGAGAGAAGCTAATCTTCTGTTCATGACAGCTTGAGGCACGCAACAAAGTGATGTTATAATTTTCTATTTTTTAAAGCAGCAGAAAAACAAGAACAAGAAGAGAGTTTTTCCAATCACCATTCACCTCTCATACAAACTTAAAGTAAGCCCCTCAAATTGTTTAAATTACACCGAACAAGTCCTTATAGTTAGAAGACCTATCTCTAACAACTGGTTTGGTTTTTGAATTGTTGAGTTAACAATACATAATTGGTACCAGTAATCTTTCCCTTCTTCACCCTGGTAAGGAAACTATTTCTTATATCCTAACTATGATTCTTCTTATTCTTTTCTTTTCTTCCTTTGTTTGGCTGATAAATGTTGTCTTGCATTTGATGTGTGACCCACCATAGCATTTAAAAGAAGATGACGGATGATGATATATTATATGCATAATTATGTCTTACATTAGGGCCTTTGTGAGAAAAAAGTCAGAATTTTCTATCCTTCAATTTTCCAATAGGAGCCTTCACATTGGAATCATGCTCCAATCGATGCTCTAGTTCAATTCATCCTTATTCGCTTCGGCTGAACTCTCAAAATTAAATCCCAACCCCAACTTATCGAATCTATGAATACACACTTCAAAGTAAACCACTCACATAAAACCCATAACCATCTCACTCCCATAAAACCCCGCGAGCATAAATAAATAAAATTATTTTCTTGGTTTTGTGTGTAGGGGGCATCTATCTGCTAAATGTAGTTCCCTAACTAAAATTTTCTCACCAGTTGTATCTATTTGCTAACCAGCCTTCGAATTTTTTGTGGACATAGTTACCTGCCCAAAGAAGCCTTCTCATCAGAATTATGCTCCGTAACCAATACTCTAGTTCTATACATCCTTAATCAATCCACCTAAACTCTCAAAACAAAATCCCAATTCCAAAGTATTAAATCAATGCATGCACATTTCGAAGTATACCACTCCAATCATAGTACCCACAAACATCTCACTCCAATAAAACACCACTAACAAACAAACAAACAAACAAACGTAAGCTTTGGAGTAACGCACATTTTTTCGAAAGAACAGCAAGAAAAAATATCAAGTTCAGGCGCACATTGCCTGCCAATAGCGCAATCATCACCCCCCGGCAGAGGCTCATTGATATCCAACAGCTTCTCAGACCCGAGAACCAACCGCTTCTGCATGGGCCCACTGAGCGCGCACTCCCCACAAACCCAATCCCCGCTCAAAGCCCGCTCCCGCTGCCGCGGTCTCAGGCACCCAAGATGAAACCCACTCTCGCACCCATCACGGACCACGGTCCCACCCCAAACCGTCCAGCCTCCGACATATCCCGCACGTCGAAAAGGCCGCACCGAGCCCGCCTCCGCCCGGACGCCGCCGCGGCGTTCCTCTGGCGTGAGTGCGGCCATTGAAACTTCGATACGAGGAATAAGCTCGGTCGGTCGGATCGCTAGGTTTTCGGTGAGAAGACCGAGGGCGAGGCTCAGTTGAGGTCTGATGGAGAAAGCGGGCCTCGTTCGATTGGGCAGGGACCGCCGTCCATCGCGCAGCTTAGGGTTAGTGCTTGGGCAAGCGATGGCATTTGAGAGGCGATAGAATCGCGTAGGATGTTGGTGGTTTCCGGCGATTTTTGATGCGAATGCAGAGAGAGAGCGGGGGGGGGGGGGGGGGGGGGGGACGGGCGCATCGACTTGTCGGTTGGATTGCGGCCCGGTTTAAAAGCGGGCACGTTGCTGTTTGGTGTTTAGGATTTAGGAGCGGATCTGGGTTTGAGATTTGGTATCGTGCAGGTTACGGGTGATTGTAAGAACAAGGAGAGGCGGACCGGATCCGGTGTTAGGATGACGCAGAGTACAAAGGTTCTTCAGCGAATAGTATGCTGACGCGTGTGGTTTTAATATGGGCCCAGTGACGGGATAGCGTGTGCGGCGGCAGGGAGGGGAAGCCAAAAATGGCAAAGGGAAAAAGGGTGTAATTTGGGAAAATTTCTTACGACGCGACAGAGATGAATACGAATACGTGGCATAAACAACTCGTAAATAAGAAAGTAATAGAATTAAATAACTTTTCTTGTGTAATGTCTCCTCTTTCTAAGGGTGTGATTTATGTCACTTGCTGCTTATGGAGCATCTAAGAATTTTTTTGAAATTTGTAGAATAAATTTTTAAAGTTGTTTTTAATTGCATTTAATCTCCAAAAAATTCTCCATAGTTCAATGTGTGTTCTTACATTCCATGTAAAAAAATGTGATTGTGCCTTAATTTAGAATTTTTAGACAACAAACATTAAGAAAATTTTACTCTAAGAATAGAAGTTCTAAATACATAATTAGATCATCTCAACTCAATCATCATATTTTAATCCTGTCAGTGCTTTTCCCAATTATTTTAATGTTTTTGGACTCTCTTTAAACCCGAAATCATCAAAAATCATTTTTTTAATGTATATTAGGCTAACTTAATTATAAAAATAGATGGTGTGTGGATTATGACCTTCTTGTCTTAGAATAAAGAAAAAGTAAACAAATTGTAGTAATCAAAATCAAAGTTAAATCTTTTGTTAGTTGATGAGGCAGCATTCATAAATTAGTCATTTAAAATTCTAAAGGAATATTAGATATTTGTACAAAACTCAACGACCAATCTAGAAGAAGCACATGAGGCTAAATTAAAAAGAAAATTCAAACAAAAAAGTGATAAAAAAATTTACAAATGTGTGCAGGCAAGTAAATGTATACTTGTAATTTGTAATGACAATTGAGACTAACCTCTCTGATCTAGTTTCTTCCTTTCCCAAGAAAGATTTTAGATGATCTGTTAATAAATTTAATCAAGGATAATTTTTTAGAGTGAGAAATTGAGAAGAGGGTGATATGACGGCGACACAGAAAGAGGCCAGCGCAGAGAAACATATTCTTAGGGTTAGGGTTTTTAGGCTTTTTTATACTGGGACTGGTATAAGAATTAATGCATGTGAATGCACCGCTTGGAAGAATGAATCTACGATTTTCATGCCAAATGGACCAAAGAAGGAAAGTGATGACGTGTTTCCAGGTGTGTTATGCGTTATCGTTTCGATATTCTCGAAGTATGTAGTTCAACCAGAGTTATTATATGAGTTGTTTCTAGATGAAAGGTAACAATTGTGAGTTATTAAAATCTGGAATATATCTGCAATTGGATTTGTATACTTTTATTTTGTCATTTGAATATTCTTCTCAATGCACACGTGTAAACACAAATATGTTTAAGAGAAAATTATTAAAAACTTTTTTGACCAATATACAATGCACAGACACTTAGATATTGAAAATTATTTAAAAAACATTTTACCTCCTATACTTATTATGAAATCAATTTTTTTGTCAGTAATATACTTTATTTGAAAGGTAACAATTGTGAGTTATTAAAATCTAGAATAAATCTACAATTGGATTCTTATACTTTTATTTTGTCATATGAATCTTCTTCTCAATGCACACGCAAACACAAACATGTTTAAGAGAAAGTTTTTAAAAATTTGTTAGACCAATATACAATGCCCAGACACTTAGATATCGAAAATTATTTAAAAAAAGTTTTTACCTCCTATGCTTATTATGAAATCATTTTTTTTGTAAGTAATATACTTTATTTGATATCAATAATTAAACATTTATCCTCATAAATTTCATTCTAAAAGCAATTAATAAACTTATATCAAAACGGTATCAGTCTCGTTTTTAACCAATAAAAATATAAATAATATTAATTTGTTTTTTTAATATATAAACTTTCTCATTCCCTTTTGTTATTTCTTTTAGCCATTTAAAAAAATTCATTTATATAAAATTAAATTCCTTTTTAGAATCCTCTACCAACATATTTTAACTACATGCTAAAAACAAGAAGCTAGTAATTTTTCAGAATGAAAAAAAAAATCATAGGTATATTTGTATATTTATCTTTGCATGTATAAAACACACATCTTAATGTATTATATGAATCCACTTTAAAAACTCACAAACTTGAAGTTATATTATTTCCAAACATATGATAATCTATATTTAAATTGTCTCATTACTTGTATTTATGTGCAATATTACGGTCTCTCTCCCTCGCCCTCTTTTCTAACATTTTGTTTGGGACTTCACTAATAGAGGGGAAGAGGAGGGAATATACATAAGGAAAAGAAAAGGAAAATGAAGAGAATTTTTAATGGGAAGAGGAGGGAATATACAGGAGGAAAGAAAAGAAAAATAAAGAACATAGTTACATGTGCTAAGAGGTTGTTTGGTTCGTTTCCTAGATATAGGAAAATACAATTCCATGTAAAGAAACATAAGTTTTGAGTTTTTCAAACTTTTCCAAGAAATAGATTGTTTTAGTTTGGTTCGCACATAAAAAATAGTGGGAAATCAATATATTTACTTTTCTTGTGTTTGGTTCGCATGAAAAAAATAGAAAAACTTTTGTTGATTTGACATTTCTTACTTTTTTGTGTTTGGTTGGTTATGAAGTTTGTAGGAAAAAGTGTTTGTGGTCACCATGTTAAGATTATCCCCCCACTATAATTTATTTATTTGTGCTCATTATGTGAAGTAATCTTAATCATATAAAAGTGTGAATGTAACATGAACAAATAATAATATCCCGAATTTATTATAAATTTCTGTTTGTATTAATGTCATACTAAACCTGAAATAAATTATGAATAAAATGCTATGAACTGCGTACCTGATGTGATCTGAAATATACCTGTTTGAGATGAAAAATTCACACGAAACCTATTTTCCTATGAAAAAATGAGACATGTAATAACCTGATTATTCATAAATTTATGAAATACGTACCAGAATTAGCCAAAAAATCTTGTGAAACCTATAAAATTCATATAAATAACATGAATAGCCATAAATATGTATATAACATAGCAAATTGTATCAAACCTGTTAAATTATGCATGTTAATGAACTTTAAGTGCCAAAAATTATTTGAAAATATGTCTTAACATCATGTCAAATAAATCAGCCATATGTATATGTGAATTATGGCTGAGAGCTCAGAATTTGATCAATATCATCATTGTTAGCCATCCAGTGCAATATCAACAGATATTGTAGGTTGCTAATCCCAGAAAAATTGACAACCATCATAGCCTAAATTGAACACCCGCAAACAATATCAAAATAATTAAATCCAGCCGAACACAACCTGGCTGAGCACAAAAACTGGTCATATGTGCACAATTTAAGGTCACATGTGCACAAAACAGTCGACAAGTAGTAAGTACAAAACAGAACAAACATGAACACAAATAGAACAACCAAGTGTCTGAACACAAACAACCCAGAAAAACAATGCTTGAACACAAAATCTCACGAACACAAAACTGAGCACAAACACCTTATAAAACCTGAACACAAAGGAGGTTGCACAAAACAGAACCAGACTCACAATCAGGCTCACAACCAGGCCAACTAACAAATTCAATCAACCAACTAGCTAACAACACCACTAATCAACCAACATGTAGAGGCAACATGTGCCCATAACCAGGTTCACAACCAGCCAGCTAACCAACCAACCAACAACACAACCAGCCAACCAACAACATGTGCCAACCAACTTGCAAGTGAAATAATATGTGCATGTTGAGGCTCACAACCAAGCTCACAACCAGCTAACCAACAACATCAACCAACCAAGCAAGTGCAACAAAAAAAATGCAAAAAATGAAATATGTGATGTTAACAGAGGATTATGAAAATTAGATCAAATTTCTCATCTACACATTTTTCACGCAATTCCTCAAGTAATTTCCTCAAGTAAGTTCAGATCTTCCTAAACATTTATGTTACTCTAAAATCTCAAAAAATATCCTGCAATTACAAAGCTCAGATCGAACACCTCGGTAAAGTTTAGATCCACCACCCCCAAATTCTCAGATAATTGCCGTAAATTAAAATTTTAATGCTAAAAATTTTTAAAAAAAAATTTTTACCTTGATTTATGAAGCAACAACGTCGGCAAAGATCAGATCTAAATAGCTTGGGCAAAGATCAGACGCCCCTCCCCCAATTTCTTCGAATACAGCCACAAAGAAGGTCGCGGGAGTTTATGGCGGGGGGGGGGACAGCCACAAAGAAGGTCGCGGGAGTTTATGGCGGGAGGAGAGCAAGTAGGTAACTATAACTCACCGAAGAAATCAACGAGGAAGACCAAAATCCAACGTGACCAGGGTTTCCGCCGATTTTACTCGGTTGGGGAAGGAATTGGGGGAGAGAAAAAAACCTAGGTGGCGGTGATTTTTATCTCGTTTTCTCTCTTCAGCCCTAGCGAAACAAAGCTGGGAAAATAAACCGATGGAAATGAAAAAACCAATGTGGCCCCGAAAAAACCAACGTGGAGGCGATGTAAAAGTTTTCCACGGGGTTAAAAAGCGAACCAAACAGCCCCTAAATTAATATTGGCCTTTGGATTCTTATTATGATGAGTTAAGTTGGTTGGTGGAAGGTGAATTTTTCACCACCATGCGTCTCTCTCCCTCTCTATTCTTCTCTAAAACAAAACTCCCAAACGGTGCGAGCTTATATTATAAAGACCTCCCTTCCCCTCTTATCCATTCACTTTCATCCAAATAGAGATGAAATAACATCTTTTTAATCAAATACAAGCATTGTCACTTCAAGATTCGAACAACTATTTTGTTGCTTTAAAAGCATCATCCTCTTATTTCACATATCTTTCTTTTGCAGCCTCATTTATTTGTGTAGTTAACATCATTCTAATATCTGAGTGCTAAGTAACATGTTCCCTAATAGCATCTCCAACAGCTTCCCCATTTCTTATTTTTAAAAAATTTAGTTAGATTTTTGGTCCAATAGATTCCCCATCTCATTCCCTAAAATAGGGATGGAGGAGGAAAAAATGGGGAAGCTTCCCCAAATCTGCAGCATTCTCCAAATTTTTGGAGGAAAAAAGTGATTCCTTAAAATGGGAAAGCTGTTGGAGTTTGTGTAAAAATAATTTGGAGAATATGACTTTTGCTTCTTTATTTTGGAGAAAATTTTGGAGAAGCTATTGAAGATGCCCTAAAACCTTCTTAAACTTTCGATCTCTCGGATACTTTTTTGTGATACAGGTCCATGGCATGCGACATTATGGTGTGGACATTAAGAAAGTTTGCGAGTTATTAGGAGTTTTTGAAAAAAAAACAAAAAATTATATAAGGAACATATTATCTCCTTTTTCACTTTCCGGATACTTTTTGTGATACAGGTCCATGGCATGCGACATTATGGTGCCGGAAACATGAAAGTGAAACAACATGTGTCAATAAAAAACTTGTGATCAACTATTTTCTTTACATGAGAGAAAAAAATATACAAATATTGATTAAGATGCCACTAAAAAGGGAAAAAGCATACAAAATAGAGGGGGGAAAACGATCTTGAAAAGTAAAAAAAAAAACTTACACGATGTTTTCATCTTTCTCGAATCTTCAATTATTTTCTCCGCTTCTGGTTTTTCTCTGAAATACTCGACGATGTGAAGGCATGTTTTTCTTTTTTAGTTATTTTGTATATTTTGTTAAGCTACGATTTTATTTGGATTTGTACACATCATGAGATGTTGTTTCTAAAACTAATAATTCATGGTAAATAAAAAATTACAAGAGATACAGGTTTTAAAACCAATAGAAGCCATCCCATACGCTTATACACAAGGAGACTCGAATTAAAACAACTATTCAAGAACGTGCTAGCAAAATTTAAGGGCTGTATCCAGAGTAGGATTCTTTTTTATTTTATTTTTGTAATTTCATCAAATCAAAAGTTTTACCTTAAATAATAATGCAATATTTATCTATATTAACAAAACGTGTCCCTTTTTTCGAGTAAAACCTCTAATCTTCTATCATACATATTAATCTTTCTAAACTTTTATTATTTCCTAATTTAACCTGAAAAGAATTATTTATACTATATAAGATTTGTACAGTCGTCTCATTTCAAAATTCAAATCCCCTTACGCCTCGTTTGGTAAGTGGGAATGAAGTCAGGTGAGAATGAAATGGAAGAAGGAATGGAATGGAATGTATGTGAGAATGAAATGGTCATTCTCATTCTCTTGTTTGGGTGCGTTTGTAGAATGAAGGTAGAATGAAAATCTAATTCTCATTCCCATGTTTGGTATCACTAGTTCACAAGTGAGAATGAAATCTCATTTTCTAATAATGCCTTTATAACAACATAGATTTTTAATAAGATAAAAATAAACATTAATGATAATAACTAAAAAAAATTATTTATGCATATGTTATATTAATCTAGGTATGTGTTATAATAATGCGCATATGTATTCTTCCCTTTTTTTCTTAGTTTTGTAAGAATTCTGCTAAAGTAGCAAAAATGATATGGATAATCGTCATAAATTTAACAGAGTTCAACAAATTTCAACAGATTAAGCAGTGAAGAAGAAAAGTCACAAAAAATGAAGAAAAATCGAGCAAAAAACCACCGAATCGTACCTAGAAACTCGAGCGAAGGAGAGTCGATGACTCGGTCGTTGAAGAGAAAGGCGATGCCATTAAGTTTTAACATGATAACAAATATGAATGTGGTTAAACTTTTGACCTTGATTAAGTTTTAACATGATAACAAATATGGCGAATGTTAAGTGAAAGTTTACTTGGATAAAGTTTAACTCCCTTTACCATCGTAACAAACAAACCCTATCGCCTCGTTTCGTACGTGGGAATGAAGTCAAGTGAAAATGAAATGGAAGAATGAATGGAATGGAATGTATGTGAGAATGGAATGGTCATTCCCATTCTCTTGTTTGGGTGCGTTTGTAGAATGAAGCTAATATGAAAATCTAATTCTCATTCCCATGTTTGGTATCACTAGTTCACAAGTGAGAATGAAATCTCATTTTCTAATAATGCCTTTATAACAACATAGATTTTTAATAAGATAAAAATAAACATTAATGATAATAACTAAAAAAAATTATTTATGCATATGTTATATTAATCTAGGTATGTGTTATAATAATGCGCATATGTATTCTTCCCTTTTTTTCTTAGTTTTGTAAGAATTCTGCTAAAGTAGCAAAAATGATATGGATAATCGTCATAAATTTAACAGAGTTCAACAAATTTCAACAGATTAAGCAGTGAAGAAGAAAAGTCACAAAAAATGAAGAAAAATCGAGCAAAAAACCACCGAATCGTACCTAGAAACTCGAGCGAAGGAGAGTCGATGACTCGGTCGTTGAAGAGAAAGGCGATGCCAGGTGTGGCGGTGACTTCGGTGGAAGAGGCGATGTCAGGCCGGAGGCGGCGTCGGAGGCTTTGGGTTCGAGAGGCGGTTGAGGCGGCGGGGGAAGAGGTGGAGGAGAAGAGATTGGGACTAGGATTGAAGTCAGGGGCGATGAATAGAAAGGATGCCTTTTTGTTTCGGTGGAGCCTAAAAAACAGAGAGAAAGTGAGAATACATAGTCAAAAGCCATGATTTTTAAATTGATTCATATTATTAATAGGAGTATAATTGAAAAAAACCTAACTAATTTGATTTTCCCCTTGAATGAGAATGATCATTCCCTATCTTCTCATTTGGAATGCACATTCCCACAAAAAGTGGGAATGGCCATTCCATGGGAATGGCCATTCCAGTATCTAAAAACTAGTTTTGTTTGGTATGAGGGAATGTGAAGTGAGAATGACATTCCATTCCCTCCCATTCCCGCGTACCAAACAGGACCTTAATTTCTCCACCTTTATCCCCATACTGAAAATCAAGCAATTAAAAATAAAAACCATAATCAAATTAAATCATTAGCCACTGATTTTGCCCTTTTACCAATCAATATTCTTTCTGTACTTACTTGCCAGCGGTGGGGTCACATGCACCCATCTAGCCTCCAATCACTGCTCGCCGGCGAAACCCCCGAACCGCACCCGAATTGTAATCCATGGGCCCCATAAAGCAGATATATCTGTTTGGTACAAGTCCACGGTCCGTTTGCAGGTGAGCGTAGGGATCATCAAAATTTGACGGATCTCTATCCTCGTCCGGCGAATTAATAATTTACTTTAAATAACTTCCGACATTTCTACAGAGACGAACCAAACCAACAGCGACTCCTCTCTCTCTCTCTCTCTATAGAATTTCAGTCTTCGCCATTTCTTGTTGCTGGTAACCTCTCTCTCTCCTCCCAGTTAGTTAGGGCTTTGGTCGAGTACTGATTTGATCTCAGTTTCTTGAATTTTGCTGTTGTATGTGACTGGATCTGTTCATTGTTTGCTTTGATTGCTTGTAACTGATGACGAAGTGAATCTGTGTTAGATCTCTTGGCTTTCTGTGATCTGGCCCTAGAAATGTAGGTTTCGTTGGGGGAAAATCCCCCCCTGAGATAACTGGTTAGGTAAAATTGAGCAGCGATGTTAAGTTTTTTGGGAAAAAAGTTGGATTGAGTACGTTGAGGTGCTTTGATTCACCAATTCAGGAGTAGAGATGAAAGTATCTTGGAGTGATGTTAAATTAGCGGAGAACTGTTCTCCACTGAATGACTGTAGTTTTGGGTTAGGGTTGTTTAATTTAGGTACTTGTAGATCTTTGAAGCATGTTTCCTTAGATTCAGGCAACCCTAATTGATTGGGGAAGAGAAAATAGTGAAAGCAATGTTTCAAGTTTGAATTTTCAAAGTTGAAATGTTTATTTAAAACTTTAACTGTTGTCCGGCTGCTTGTTATAACCAGACCATTCCTTCCAATTGTTGCTTCTAAGTTTTTGCTTACATTAAGTGTTTGGGTTATATATGTATGGTCCTGACTTTTCTTTAGTTGAAAGTACTGGGAAAATAATGACTTGCAAAATGATGAAAAATTCAGATGTTACTCTGATGAAAGTTGGAGAGTCAAGGATTAGTCCTTTGGTAAATCATAAATGATATACCGCTAGAAATAGTTGTCTAGATTTTTTTTTGGTGCAAGAATATGTCTATTATTAGAAAGTGTTGCTCCTATTGTGGATAAAAAAAATATAATTGATCGAGATGGTTTATTCACAGACTAAGGATGTCACTAAGTGTACCGATTAGGAGAAGTGACAAAATGAAAATTAATGGAGCATGTAGGAATATAGGTAGGGCTCAAAGAACTTGGTCGGAAGCAATTAAGGAGGATAAGATGATAGTGGTATCATGACTGATGGAAGACTTGTGTAGCTGATCCCAGAAAGTTTGGGATAAAGGCTCTGCTCTGGTTGATGTTGTTCTTACATGTCTGTGTATGTTCATATGATCTCTCTTTATTCATATAAGACCACTGCAAAGACAATTACAGCAACTATAACTAGGCCCTGTACTGTAATGCTTCATTTATAAGCTTTTTTCTAGCATTTCAGTGACCCTTATACCCTTAAAGTCTGTAGAAGGCTACACAGTTTTTGCTTCCCTGTTTATTACAAGCTTGACATCTCAAGTATAAGCTATTTCATGAAAGGCATCTGGTTGACAATATATTGATCATTTTATGTATTCAGGAAATGATTCTTCAATATTTAAGCTGGCAATGGTTGGACATCGCTCTTACATGGCTGTAGAAGGTTACATTTATTATCATCAATTTGACCTACCTCTAAATCTAGATAGGGCATGCAAAATGCTGTCCGTTTAGATTATAGTTTATTTCTAAATTTCCATCTCAGGGAATTGAGGAATCAGTTACAAATTTATACTACATGACTTCAACCTCCAACGGTGATACTAAATCAAAATTGTTTGTTGTGTCCAAAATGCCAATTCCCCATGCTGACTTCATCAACAAATTACATCCTTGCGAATTTTTTATGAGATACCCCTTGAGATCTATGCACCAGCAGGAAAATTCTCCCTTAATGGGAGGATCAGTAAATTGTACTGTACTGTGTCTATACACTATCAACTGCGATAGGTTTATGATTGAGTGTCCAACCTCTGCTAACGGTTTAAAAATCTGCTAGTCCAAGCAATTTTATTTTTGGCGTGGGCGTGGATGCTGATTATTGACTTCAGTGACATGAAACTTTATTAATATGTCAATAACATAGCATGATTCTACATGGATTTCTGATTCGTCTATAGTACTATATATTCATGCATTAGAACATGGTTAGTTTCGTGGATGTCTTGCTGACTTTATACTTGCAAAAATACATGGATATTGAATTTTCTATTGTGACCACTAGGCTGCAACCGTGACATCCTAAATCAACAGATCAGATCTTCATCTCTAACACACTACATCCACTGAGACATCCCTGCAGAAGTCAGATAGAGAATTTCACGGCTTACCTTAAAAACTGATTCAGACTGTTTGTACTATCTCTAAAGGCTGTAAATGCTGCAGGGCAGCTGTCTACAACTCAATAAAGTAGGGAGACTTGAAAATGCAACGTAACCTTTTGGAAATTTGATCAAAAAGTTCTTGAACTCTAGAAGTTCATTGTAAAATTCATTAATGTTATCAGCTCTGAATATCATGGTCTGATTATTGCCAATGTGCCATGGATTTTCCATTTGGATAACTTTGTGCTACGTGCTGCTAAAAGCTTTTGCCAATACCTTACAAATAAGCTTCAGTTTCAATTCTTCTTTTATTTGTTCTGAACAGTATGCTGAAGTAATGTCCACATTTGCTTTATGAATTTATTATGTACTTAACAGCTAACATAATTGACAAGAGCCAGCAAGTTGTGCATCGCCTTTAACCAGTGGAAAAAACAAAAAAATGTGCTCCAAATTTGAAATAAAGCAGCCCTAGCTTATGTTTTTTGTACTTATTCTTTCTGTTGGGAAAACTTTTGTCACTGCTCTCGTTTCAAGATTATTCTGAGTTCTTCTCTTATTTGTTTCCTCCAGATTATAAAGATGTCAGGAACAGCTCTTAGAGATCTCAATGTACTGCCGATTTCGGGACTGGAGAAGAAAAGTGATGGCTCTAGTAAAGGAGGTTTTACAAAGCCTAACATTGAGAACAACATAGAAAGGAGGCCGAGTAAAGTTTCTGCATCCCTGTCATCTGCTCCAGTGCAAGAAGCTGAGTCAGTGGGTAACGGCGTGGAAGCTGGAAATTTAGAAATTGAGTATATAGAATCTGAGAATCTGCCGGATCTTCCTTCTGTGGATACAAGTCTCAGTGTATGGCCTTTTATTTCATATATTTGCTGGCTTCTTATATATTAATGTGTTTTGTTTAATAAATGTTTCCAGTTGCTTGCTGCATTTTTCGTATTAATGAGAAAATAGTTGTTTTTGTATCATGAAGACGCTTCTAGCAAAGTTAGACTCCAAAAATTGGGTTTTGGTATGTGAAGCACTCAACAATGTGCGGCAAATATCTTTATATCACAAGGAGAAACTGCTGGATATATTGTAAGTCTTGTTTTCTTTCTGTGCAATTTTACTATACAAGGACATTTACTTTGGAAAAATTGCATAGCTTACTTTTATGGTTTTAATTTGCTTCTCATCTCCTTGTGCCATTTCTTTCTTTTTCTGTCGGTTGCATAACAGAGGAGACGTGATTCCACTGCTCGTGAAATCCTTGAAAAGTCCAAGAAGTGCAGTTTGCAAAACTGCAATTATGACATCTGCTGACATATTTAAGGTTTACGGAGATTCAATAGTTGATTCACTTGATCTGATGGTATGATAGTAATTCTGGTCCCTTACTCTACTTCCACTCTTATGTTGTATACAGTTTGTCAGTAACTTTTTCATGAATTCTGTTTTCAGCTTGTACAATTGCTTCTCAAAGCTTCACAAGATAAGCGCTTTGTATGTGAAGCTGCTGTGACTGCTTTGATTTCAATGACAACTTGGGTTTCTCCTTCCCTGTTATTGCCAAAGCTGCTGCCTTATCTTAAGAACAAGAATCCTAGAATCAGGGCAAAGACATCTATGTGTTTCGGCCGAACTGTACCACAACTTGTAAGTTTAATTTCCTTAAATTTGAAATTTGTTGTGGATTATTATTTAACTGTGTCTGATATTTTTCTTATTATGTGTCGTTAGAAACCAACTTGGTAGTTCTAATTCACCACTATAATGTTCTTCTAATATGCGTACCTATATCTTTAGAATTTGACTTATTTTCTTTTTCATTTAACTGTCTAATTTTTTGCTTTAGTACACATATCATCATCTGTCAATAATTTAATTCTATTCCACTGATGTTCAATTCTTTAATCCCCAGTTGATTTTCTATTTAAGTTCTGCTTTCTATCCAAAATTTGTTTTGTTACTACAAATTTTTGTTATGCCCCTGATTTTTTTATTCTTTAACGCACCTTTCACCAATTGAATAGCTCCCCTGGTTAGGGAAGGAAAGATGAATTTGTTGTAGATAAAAAAAATTGTTTTGTTACTACAAATTTTTGTTATGCCCCTGATTTTTTTATTCTTTAACGCACCTTTCACCAATTGAATAGCTCCCCTGGTTAGGGAAGGAAAGATGAATTTGTTGTAGATAAAAAAAGTATATATATATATATATATATATATATATATATATATATATATATGCTGTTTACTGAAAGCTTTGGACCAACAAAATAGAGTGCTGGCAAAATAATTGGTCCTAGAGCAAATGAAACATATCCATTTTCCATGTAATCATCCAGTGAAGGAACTGACTTGTTCATCAGCCACTCGGCCTCTTTTATCATCGACTTCATCAAGTTAAGCCACTGCAACTTACAAATTCGGAAGTTAAGAAGACTACAGAAAGAACTAAACAAAAAAGAGGGGTTTTCTCATTTTGGACACTAAAATCTTTCATATTTTGATATTAAATCCCCACATATTTATATTTTAGTTACGCCCTCTATTCAGGTTCCATCCAAATGTATAAATGTTCTATGGTTAGAAGCTAACCATATGAGATAAATTACCTTTAATTCCCTCAGTCCTAGAATTCATCCAAAGCACAAGAGAGGAAGGTGGTAATAAGCAAGAAAAAAAATACAAATAATGTAGTTTGTGTGTTGTAATAGAGTGAAGAAATAGGTTTCAAATGAAGATCTAGTGCAGATGTTAGTGGATTTGAGGAGAGTAAATGGAAAGAACATGAAACGATTAAAGCGATGGGAAGAATGGATAAGGCATTATTAGGACTGGGGAGCCATTTCGTAAGGGTATAATTGTCTAGACAGTATAAAATATAACATTTAATGGAATATGTTCTAAAATGGCCATTAAAGTTAACAACAGGGTGTAATTTGAAACAAACTAAAAGGATTTGGGGTGCAAATTAAAAATATGACAGTTTGGAGCCTAATATCAAAATATGAAAGATTTTAGCATTTAATATGAAAAAATTCTTCCACAACATGATTAAATGTCTCACAATCTCAATTATATGAGGTGTGACACTCCTCTTCTGGAGCGCTGATGCCTTGGCTCCAAGCTCATTAATAGTACTGTAAAGAGCAGAGAATACGATCTCCACTTGTTTTGAACAGAACTCCTTCTCATGAATTCCATCCCATCTGTCAAAATATCCAAGTTCAAAATCATGTAAATCATACTTGTTTGCAATTAAATAAATTGTACCTCTCAACCAGCATAATAATGTTTAAAAGTTCTTCTCTTGAACCTCCAACATCAAAGAAATCATCAACCACAGTAGTCAGCACACTATTTTTTGCCCAAGACATGCGAGCATCTGCCATTTCAGGGGGAAAAAGTGTAGCAGCAGTAGAAAGATAGCAGTATGCTAGTTTCTGCCTAGCAAATTCAAGCCGATCCAACTTATTGTCTTTGACCCACCTGCTTGCAAGAAAAAGTTGTGCTATGGATTTTAGAGAAGCAGAATGAATTCTATCAACATGGGTAAACAACAAGAATCCTCCTCCATCTCTTCCTTGTTTTTAAGAAACTTCCATGTCTATGATCAATAATAAAACCATTTGTTCGGTAATGGAGTTTAGTTCCTAATACATCTAGACAACCATCAGCATGCATAAATCTAGATTAATGATAAAAAAAGATTGGAGTTATTTACTCTATCCAACAACTTACTCTTTTCTATATCTTCATTCATATTTCTAACTCTCAAAAATTGTGAAATCTGAAGCACAAACGTTGGTTCATACGTATCCAAGTACAAGTGTCTGCGTAGACGTCTGAAGAACAAAACTCAGTTACAAAATTAATGGTTTCATTAATGCTCATAGATAAGTTTTTTTACCCCTTCAAAGAGAGGGGTATAGATGAAGGGGAGTTTCTCATAATTTACCCTAACCATATTAAGAAATAAATGGATAGACTCACTTCTCAAGACATTCCAGTTCTTTGCGGTACATAGACTGCGACAAATTGAAGTCTTCCACTGCCATCTTTAGGACATCTTTTTTATTGATACTGTGATTGCTATTGAGACGACAATAATTAGTTTGTGCTAATATAATAAACAAGTACTGAAGACAGCTTATTTTTCCTTCATTTGAAAACTACTAACGAAATCTTACACATATGATGTTTTGAGAATCCTGAGATTTCCCCCATCAGAGAGTTCAATATGTTTCTTGTGTTCTAGACGATCCAAATTAGCATAGAAAGGAAACTTAAGAGCATGAGCAACCTGAAAAAGTGGATTTCAACATAATCTATCAAATGTCAATGCTTAATACCCGCAATAGAGGATAATATTCTGGTGATGGAACAATGTACATTACTAGTTTCAGAGGTGCAATCTCTGGATGAGATACAGTGGCTAAGTTTTGAGAAATGATCTTGGAGGTGAGTTCACGTAAAACATTTAGAAGTCAAAACATTTCTTGTAGTTTGTCATATTTGATGAATGGCCTGAATCTTCAGGACTGAAATAAGACTGTTTTAGCTCTATTTTATTTGGACCTAAGCTTTAGTCATTAACCATACACATGAACCTGAGTTTAAGAAGAGTTTCAATTTTTCTGTCTATATCCATACTGTATACAAATTTGAAGTATCTAAATTTTGCGCACAAAAGACAGTCCAGGTTTTGGTCCAGGAGAAACCTCTCCAACTTACCCCCAATAGGAAAGCACAGTCGACAGTCCTCACAATGCAACGGACATAATCCGTTATGAGATTGTTATGGAGTAATATCGTTAAGCTAAATTGTGAGAGAATTGTATCCCAAAGCGTATTCATACTGGAGTTTGATGATGCGCACAAAAATTACCACAGCAAAAGTATTGCAAATTATTAACATACAGTTAATATATAATTGCAAGAACCTATGCATTTAGGTTAGCAAAAATATGTCTTTTCTTAACCAATATAAAGCCCATCCAAGAGTTGGATAGAGGATTACTATGTATTGGTTATCTATCTACCTACCTAGAATTTTTGTGAAATTCTATATATAAGTTTTCCTCATTTCCCCGTTGAAAAATGAAGAGTTCAAATTAGTTTATGCATCAAAGTATGTTATTCTACTCTGAAACACAATATTTTAGGAAGTATTATACTTTCTGACATGTATGAAAGAATGATAAATGTGTGGCATTATGCAAGTCTCTTCATCCTAAATATGCAATTCAAGTAAATTAAGCAAATCTCTAGTAATTTGTTAGATTTCACATAAATATGCATTGTGCAAGCTCTTAAGTGTTTAAGCTTATTGTGTTTAAGCTTATTGCACTAAGCTTTTCTAACCAATCAATTACCTTTAGGCCATAGCGTATATTGGATTTTGTTTACACAGTAGTAAGAATTAAATAGTGGATAAATGCTTTCTTTACCTTGTCAAATTCTCTATTTTCCTTCTTCATCCCTTTCTTGTTTATCAAAATTTTGTAGAAAGCTAATTCGCAACTGTTTGCGCATGTGGCTAAATCTTTCAGTTCAGGTAAAGATCTTTCGATCTGTAAAAACCTTTCGGTTCAGGGCTAAGTTCCTTCGGGCACAGATTAAAGCTTGCACGCTTTCAAACTCTACAGCAGCAGCACAACAGCCCGAACACTTCAGTGTGTTTTTCGTATATTCCAAGAGCTGCCCTAATGGCCACTATTTATAGGCCTCTAAGACCAACTCAAGGGTCACCCGCAGGCAATTTAACTGTTATAAATCATAATGACAATTATGATAATTATGATTATAACAGCAAATGACTTAATTGTTGTAACTGTTGTATGCAGTAACGCCTGAACGCGAGGGTCGTGTTTCTCGCACCGCCGCGCGAGGGTCGCGCCTAACGAACGTGAGGGTCGTGTTCCCTCTTGCGAACGTGAGGGTCACACCCTTGCGCGAACGCGATGGTCGCGTTCCCTCTTGCGAACGTGAGGATCACCCGCGAGGCTCGCCCCACGCTGCAAACGCGAGGCTCGCCCGCATGCTGTGACGCAGCCTGCGAGGCGATATGTGAGGTGGCCAACGTGGTGCCAAAAGGCGTCACCTAACCCCGATACCTCCGTACGAAGTGCAAAGTGCACCTTTCAAAACGCCACTTAGCACCTTAGCCCGATTAGCCCCGATCCCCGGCCCATTGGCCCACGGCCCACGACCCACTAGTACTTATGAGGGATTAATTTAATTATTTAAATCAAAAACAATTCTCGGCTTGCCTACGGCAAGCCTCGAACACAAGACCTTTTGAAACACCAAAACTTTTACTTTCCACTACGCTACTATGGATTTTTGAAAATTACCAATAGTTAATAAATATATAGTTTGAAAACTCATTTTTGGAAAGGAGCACAAGTTTTTTAAACTAGTGTCATGTAACAGTGCCGTTGTTTCAATCGTTATGCATAAGGTAGATATCGTAAGGACTTGAATCCCCTTTAGACCAACTGAATAAAAGATAGATGCATGGTGTCGCAGAGACTTGAACCAGCACTGTCTAAAAATTGAGCGATCACACAAAATCAAACTCATCTGTGGTAGTTTTCACTTTGAACCACACTTGCCTTAGCTTTGAACATTTATGGCCCTGTGCATGACCGGGTTTCTGTTAGGGCTATAGGCATATTTTCATAAGACACCATAGGAGACGGTCAAATCTCCACCCAGACATATGTGAGTTCTTTAGGCATGTTTCCTATCAAACATCCCGCATCCGAGATGATTTGAACTCATTAAGGCTTAAGAGTCATCCTCTCTCATGATATGATTCTAGGTGAGTCCTTTAGACGTGTCTCCTACCTAACATCATGTATCCGAAATGCTTTGGACTCATTAAGGCTTAACAACTATCCCCTTTACATTATAGGATCATCGGTGAGTCCTTTATGCATATTACCTATCCAACAGCCCGCATCCGAAATGCTTTGGATCCATGAAGGCTTAACAATCATCCTCTTTACCATGATAGGATTTCACTTGCAAATCTTACTTGACTTTTGAACCAATCATCTTATCATTAGTAGCGTAAGCTTTGAACTAATAACTTGATGTAAATAGTAAGTGTTTGTAAGACTCACCAAACTTTAAAAATCTTACTTAACTTTTGAACCATTTATCTTATCATTAGTAGTGTAAGCTTTGAACTAATAACTTGATATAAATGATAAGTATTTGTAAAATTTACCAAACTTTGAGACCCATTCCAGCAGACGTCCTTTCAGCTATGTCTTTTTTTAGACCTTTAGTCAAAGGATCAGCCATATTCTCTGAAGATCAAACGTCAATCACAGAGATGACTCCTTAGCAAATGAGTTCTCTCAAATAGTCATGCTTCAGATGAATGGTCTGCTTCTTTCCATTAAGCATCAAGTTCGCTGTCACAGCACTCGCCGCCTGATTATCACAATAGATAGTAATTGCGCCTTGTAATTCTGTTAATGGAAGGTCTCAGAGAAAACAACTGAGTCACTCAGCTTTATATCTTGCATCATAGAGTACGAAGAACTCAGATTCCATCGATGACTGTGCAATCATAGTTTGCTTCTTAGACTTCCACAAGACGACAACTCCACCCATGGTGAAGACATTCCAGTAGATTTACACTCATCTGGTTCTGAGTACCAGCTCGCATCTGATTAGCTTTCGATTACAGCCGGATATCCAATATAGAATAGGTCCAGACCTATAGTTCCTTTTAAGTATCTCATCAATCTCTGGACAGTATCCTAATGAAGCTTTCTAGGATTATTTGTGAACCTACTAAGTATTCATACAGCGAATGTTATATCTGACCTTGTGCAGCTCATCGCGTACATATGACTCCCAATGGTCTTTGAGTACCTTAGCTGTTGTACTGGTCTTTCAGTGTTTGGTCGAAGCTTCTTGTTGTAATCATGCGGTACTGACAGTTCTGGCAGGTCATAGTAACCATACTTTCTTAGCATGCTCTCGACATAATGAGATTGAGACAATCCAATACCCTCTTCAGAGTATATGATTTTGTTTCCGAGAATCATGTCCGCAGTTCCAAGGTCCTTCATGCTGAACTGTGCTGAAATAATTTTTTTTATAGATATTACTATCTTCAAATCACCCCCGATGATGAGCATATCATCCATATAGAGGCAGATAATCATCATCTTTCTTTCAGGGATCTTGATATATAGGCACTTGTCAGATTCACTGACTTGATACCTATTGTTGCGAACAACCCCATCGAACTTCTCATGGCAGAGTTTCGGTGTCTACTTAAGTCCATGTAGAGACTTAACAAGTTTACAAACTTTATCAGCTGTGACATCAAGGCCTTCTGGTTTCTCCATGTATATCTCTTCTCTAAGATCTCCATTGAGAAAGACAGTCTTCACATCCATCTGATGTATGACAAACCTTTTGGTGGTCAAGTATGTCAATCGTTGGGCATGTTTTAGAATTTTATTTTATTTTATTAGATTTACTTTTGTGCTCTCTTATTTTTTGTGTTGTTATTTTCTTATACTTTTGTAGTATAGATTTACTTGTATGCTCTTTAATTTTCTTGTATTTTTATTTTTGTAGTGCAGATTGGCTTTTATGCTCTTTTATTTTTGTTAGTTAGATTTCGTTTATACTCATAGTTTAGGTCTTTATTTTCTTGTTCTTGTTCTTATTTTTTATAGTTAGTTTTTAATTTTCCTATAATTTAGATTTCTTTCTTCCATGCTTTCTACTTTAGATTTTATTTTTTTGGTTTTTATTTTAGAAAATGAGTAACTAAGTACTTGTAGGAATTCTAGAATTGTATGAAACTAGTTTGATTTCTTTTATAATTTGTGGATTGCTCTCTTGTACTTAAAATAATCATGTTTAGAATAATCAATTAGAGAACTAATTGGTAGAAGAAGTATTTGATAATCTATGTTTATATTGAGTGGCGAAATGAGTTGTACTTATGAGTTCTAGAATTATTATCTAGTTGTTATTCTTTTTATGAATGAAATTTTACTTGGATGATAATTTGATAGATTATGGTTTCTTTTAGTAGTTTGATATTCTATATTTAATAAATTTAAAGTAAAATATGATAAAAAAGAGAGTTGTTCATAAATCCCAAACGAATTTAAATTAGTGGATTCAATTCTAGATTCCTCTTTCTCTCTTGATTTTCTCTGTCTTTTACTCATTTTGATTTTCCTCTTTGTGGTTATTTTCTTATCTTCTTGATTTTGTTATTTCTAATTTTTTCCCCCCCCCCCCCCT